TGCCTATTTAACTTATATGCAGAGCACATCATGAGAAAGGTGGGCCTAGATGAATCACCAGTTGGAATTAAGATTGCTGGGAGAAATATCAACAACCTCAGATATGCAGATGATACTACTCTAATGGCAGAAAGTGAAGAGGAACTAAAGAGCCTCTTGATGTGGGTGAAGGAGGAGAGTGCAAAAGTTGGCTTGAAACTCAACATTAAGAAAACTAAGATCATGGCATCCGGTCCTCTCACTTCCTGGCAAAAAGATGGGGAAGAAATGGAGGTAGTGGCAAATTTTATTTTCCTGGGCTCCAAAATCACCGCAGATGGGGATTGCAGTCAAGAAATTAAAAGACGCTTGTGCCTGGAGAGGAAAGCTATGGAAAATCTAGACAGCATACTAAAAAGCAGAGACATCACCCTGCCAACAAAAGTGTGTATAGTCAAGGCTATGATTTTCCCATTTGCAATGTATGGCTGTGAAAGTTGGACCATAAGGAAGGCTGAGCGCTGAAGAACTGAGGCCTTTGAATTGTGGTGCTGGAGGAGACTCCTGCGAGTCCCTTGGACTGCAAGGTGATCAAACCAGTCAGTCCTAGAGGAGATCAACCCTGACTGCTCTTTAGAAGGCCAGATGCTGAAGATGAAACTCAAATACTTTGGCCACCTAATGAGAAGAAAGGACTCCCTGGAGAACAGCCTAATGCTGGGAACAATAGATGGCAAAAGAAGAAGCGGACAGCAGAGGATGAGGTGGCTAGATAGAGTCACTGAAGCAGTTGGTGTGAGCTTGAGTTGACTCCGGGGGATGGTGGAGGACAGGAAGGCCTGGAGGGATGTTGTCCATGGGGTCGCGATGGGTCAGACACGACTTTGCGACTAACAACAACAACAAAACCATGGAGGTTTGTGACCATTTTGAATAGACAAACCACAGCTTGTTGTGTCATTCAAACCATATTTTCCAGGTTCGGATGACATGACAAGCTACAGCTGTGGCTTGGGTATTAAAAAAACCACCCTGCATGCAGGAGTGCTCCCTATGGCTTAATCAAGAGACAGTGGGCAGCCTTGATTGTGTGAATCAGGTCACAGAGACATCTCTCAGTTATGCTGGTACTGCAAATAGCAACGTCCATTCCTTTATATACTTTTTCTTGTACAGACTGCAACAGGACAAATATAATAATGCCAGTGTTGGTTTTTTCCTGTGCCCACCTCTCCTATACTGGGCCTCAATTACTACTGACACTTGAAGACCTGGTTGGAATGTTAGCAGAACAGGGACTTTGAGGAAAATTCAGTCCAGTTCTTATGCAGCCTGTCTTCTTTTCAAGTGGTGGCATCATAATGTAACCCTCTGGCAGTAAGGATTTATTTATGTATTGTATGTCTATACTTCCCAATAGCCAAAGCTCCCTGGGCAGTTAACAGTGATGGGCCAAAGCTGAAATATCCTTTGGAAATGTGATGAAACACTCTTACTGTCATGATTTAATGTCAGGTCTTCTCCCTCCCTACCAGCAAAGGTTACAAGGTTGCAAACAAGAGATCTGTTTTCTACTCATAAATTTTCCATTGCAGTGGGAGACAAGTCACCTCCAATGTATCCTTCTCATACCTCTCCCAGTCTTGTCATCTACACTCTCCTTATAACAAGTCAAACTATTTGTACATCAACCCCAGTAGCCTCCACACTAACTAGCAGTAGGTCTCCATGGCATCTGACAGAGAGCTCTTTCCTACTGTCTGCT